AAAAAAAAAAAAAAAGAAAAAGAAAAAAAAAAAATCACAAAATTCTGAAAAAAAGATATGTTATGAAGAAAAATAAATTAAACAAGATTTGCCTGAGCATTACATCCAAATTCCTTACCAAATTTTTTGAAATAAAAATAAAATACGAAAAACAAATAGTGTCAAATACTAAGAATAAAAATAACAAAAAAATAAAATAAAACTAAATTTAGTGAGTGGGCGAGCACGTTTTCGACACCGCCATCTTTGGCGATTTTTCATTTTTTTTTTGGCATAGCTAAATGCCCTAAAAAATAATAAAATTGTTTAGACCCCGAACTCAAGTGAAAACAAGAAGTAAAAAGTGAAAAAAAACGTGGGCTTGACACCGCCATCTTTGACGATTTTTAGTTCTTATTTGGCTGAGCCAAATGACTTGAAAATTTGTAGGCATGTACCTCACGTCATAGAGAATTCACAGAAAAACATTCAAAAAAACATATATATATTTTAAGGTCGGGTTCGGACCCCGTACGGGACCCCGAACGCTGTCGGGTTCGGACCCCGTATGGGACCCCGAATGCCCTTACGTAGGGAGGTCTGCCCGGGGACCTCTGTATATAGGGGGTCACCAGCCTGTACGCACCGAGGTCTGCCCTGATGGTCGATTGTTTGGACCAGGAAAGACCCTCACGCAGCCCCGATGGTTTGTTGGAAGATGTTTGCGATTCTGTTGACAGATAGCAGGATCATGAGCTGAGTGGGACGGTAGTGAGCGGGGCTGTGTTTGGACCAGGGATTCGAAGACCCTACGCGGACCCCATGGTTTGTTGTTTGGACCAGGGAAGACCCTTACGCAGCCCCGATGGTCTATTGTTTGGTTTGTTTTTGTTTGTTTGATTGTGTGTTGCATTTTTGTCTGTGGGGTAACTAACCGATGGACTCGAACTCTGGCCGGGAAGTGGGAAAAAAGGCCCTGATGTGCCTATCGCTGACGGTCCATCTGATTCGGGTTTCGAACCAGGTATCTTTGAAATTGGTATATGAATGGAGTAGGTAAGTACCTAGTTAGCGAGTCTGTTCTTTCGCTGAAGTATCTGGTCATTTTTGGCGACAAGGAAGATGATACTATTTGTCGTGGTACTGACTCAGTTGGGGAGGATAGTCGATAGTTACATAAAAGTGGAGTTTGCATCGTTTTCGGTCTTTTCGTCCATTTGGACATTTTCACGACGAGGGACTGCTATGCGTGCTGCTAGTTGCCAACGTCACTGAGCTTCACTCTGTTGACCACCGGGCTTTTCCTAGAGTTGAAGACTTCGTGTTTTCTAATGTGATGTACAGCTTTTGACTTGTCTCCTTCGCGTGATTTGTCAGTGTGCTGTGTGCTGCGAAATTGCAGTCAATGTTTACTTCCTACTTCACCATTAGGTGGTGACATTACTCTCTGACCAGTTTTTTTCTTTTTTTGCCCCATCCCACAACAAATTTGAAAAGTGGGCTCAGGTGATCCTGGTCCAGGCCCGCAACCCCTTTTTTTCTGGGTGCCTATCTATTTCCACTTGCACCGCACATGCCGTGCACCACATGGACTGGGTGCAGCACTCATGCGCTATTTGTGAGCAATTTTTAATTTTACGCACGGCGTGCGCTTGCATCTATGCTCTGAATAAACCTAAAGCTTCCCTCCCCCACAAAACAAAATGTTGGATAGTTTATGGACCTGAAATTATACTCCCTGCCCGGAGAAGTGAAATTTAGGGGACACATCTGATGCTGGACTGTATCTTAACCTTCTACATGCCATACGCTAAAGGGTAAAGCTGCTAAACCTTGAACCAGCAATAAAATGCAGGGTGACCCACCCATCCCTAGGCTACCAGAGTGGCCCGGGGTCACTTGCCCGGCCGGGCCAAAATAATTAAAAAAAATAAAATTAAATAAAATAGTTTTGAATTTTATTTTTGATTTTACATTTGGTGAAGAATTTCGATGTGACCCTGAGGCAAAAGTTGTTCAGCTTATTTTTCTGCATAACATAGTTTTTTTTCGGATTTTTCTGATATATATATATATATATTTTTTGCTGGGACCTTCCCTGGTCCTTGCACGGGCTGGCCACCCGGGACCCGGGCGGCCCGGCTGGTAGCCTAGACCCATCCCTTTTTTTTTTTTTTTTTTTTTTTTTTTTRACCCMCCCATCCTGGARATCCCTGGAGGYTWTAATKTKTCCCYCMCCCAAAAAAAAAAAAAAAAAAAAAAAAAAAAAAAAAAAACTTGTCTCACCTCCCTGGTTCGGTGTTTTTTCTTTTTTTTTCTCTTTTATCTGGCAGATCCAACAACGTTCATCGAGGAAATTCGCAAGCAGAAAAGAGACCTCACGAAAGAAGAGGTTGACCTTAAAGTCGCTGTTCCGTTTGAAACCAACTTCTGGCGTATTCGGTTGGATGCGATTCCATGCACCGGGGAGTCCATGGAAGAGTCTATGGAAAGACTTGTTGATGTTGCGGTATGCTTCAAAAACCACTTTCAAATTGGATGGGAATAGTCTCTCATACATTAAGAAAAGGAGCTTCTGGAAATTTCTCCATCCTCCTCCTCCTCCTCCTCCTCCTCCTCTGCTGCTGCCGCCAGTGCTGGTGCGTCTCCTCCTCCTCCTCCTTCCCCTCTTCTTCCTCCTCCTCCTCCTCCTCCTCCTCCTCTTCTTTCGCCTTTTCCTCTTCCCCCTCCTTCTCCTCTTCCTTCTCACCTCCTCATCCTCCTCGTCCTCCTCCTTGTCCTCCTCGTCCTGCTCGACATCATCGTTGTCCTCCCCCTCCCTCTCCACCTGTTCTGACTACCGTCTTCACACCCGAATAGAACGCCCGGTCTTTATCGCTGTATCTAGACTGAATGTTGCCTCAAATGCAGCTATAATGACCAGGCGTTCTATTCGGGTGAAGACGGTAGGCCACCTCAAGGTGCATTAACCTGTTTTTGGTCCTGTTGGCTTAGAGCTTACTGGGGCTTGCACCTTCCCGATCTGACTGTCTTCGCCCAGAAAGTCCTAGTGTGTATATGCCCTTTTACCTCTGCTACCTGATACAGGCTGGAAATGTGAACCGCTGGTTGGCAGAGGTGGTGCCAGCTGCGGGCATGTTTTTCTGTTGTTGTCAACTTGTTGATGAATGTGAGTTAACGCCGGTGAACAAAACTCAGATGTGAGTGGGCTCTCTGGACAGGACAGCCTTTCAGGCCTTTTTATTATCATTACCTAGTCCCCTTCAACCCCCATCCCTCCTAACCCCCTTCCCCCCGGTCCCATTTTAAAATTGTAAAAGCGTTTTCCCCTTTTTTTTGGGTTTTTTTTTTTTTTTTGGAAGAAAATTAAACTTTGGATTATCAAATGAAAGGAGGCCGGGAATCCCTCACAAACAACCCGGAGTTTCTGGAGCCCATACCCAGCTTAGGCATATGCTGGAAACCGGGTCCAGCGTCCCATTCCTTTCTGCGTGTCCAGTTCATCTTCCAAAGAATCCAAACAGTCAAAACTCAAGACCACTGTGTCATGTAAAAGCGCTT